CTGTGGCCCAAACATAAGAACAATCTAAACGTCCATCAACAGATCAATGGGTAAACGAAACATGGTATATACATCCAACCGAGTATTACTCAGCCATAAAGAGGAACAAAGTCCTGATACATGCTACACCATGGATTAACTTTGAAAATATTATGCTGAGTGAAATAAGTCACAAAAGGACAAATACTGTATGATCCCACTTACATGAAATCGGCAAATGTATAGAGACCAAAGCTTATTAGAGCTTACCAGAGGGGAGATGGAGGGAGAAAGGGGGAGTCCTTGCTTAGGGGGCGCTGAGTTTCCGTTCGTGGGGGTGGAACAATATGGAAGAGAATAGTGGTGATGGTTGCACAACATGGTGAACGTAATCAATGTCACTGCACTGTATTTGTGAAAAATGTTGAATTAGCAAATGTTTTGTTATATATACTTTTACCACAATTGAAAAAAAAAAAAAGTGAGGTGGAGATTTGGGGAAGGGGGCTGATAAGACTTTTTAAAAGCCAAGCAATACCAACAACTCCAGATGAACCTGACCTTGACTTTGGACAGTCTCACATACCTTGCCACTTTATTACTCAGCATAAAGATCAAGAGGGCATTTGCAATGTCTGATGGCCGCTTTTACAGCTGGCAGCTGAACGTTGGCTGTATGGGTTGGCGTGGCCCTTGAGAGCCGCGAGCATCCCTGTCGGATGCAGGGTGGGCGGGGCTGCATGTACCAGTTTTCACCCCCAGTGTCAGGTATGTGTGGAGCACAGACCCTTGCCTGTGGGCGCGCTGTTATATTTGTGATTGAAAATGCTGGTCATTCAATATTAATTCAAAGCCCCCCTCCCATCCAGCCCCTTGCAATTGCCTGTGACTTGAAAAATCATACATAGGTTATAGGTCAGGAGCCAGACTCGTCATTGGTTATTTGGTTATTTTCCTCTACAAAACGTCAACAGTGAAGTATAGTAGGAAAAGCAGAAATGTTGGAGTCTCACAGACCTGGGTTCAAATCCTGGCTCTGCAACTTCCCTGCTGTGTGAACTCGGGAAAGTTGCTTAGCCTGTCTGATCCTCATCTGTACAATGGGAACAACAGTACCTATCACACAAGGGGGCTGTGGAATAATTAAAACAATTGATGACAGTTTGCCTAGGTGGGTCCTGCCTAGCACGTAGTAGAGGTTGAGTGTGTGTT